CAATGTCACGGAAAATTCTTGAATGCGGCTGCGAAATACGCATGGCCGCGTAGCGACAAATCCGTTCCACGTCACGATTTGCAAATAGGTCGCGCAAATTGCCCGACGAGTTATTAAATTAATTAACTGCGTTCCAATTAATACCGTAGAACCGAACGGAAGCATTATATGCCACCAATCACCTTTATCCGGCTTTCGTCATTAAATTCCATTCGTATACCGTCTCTAATACCTATTATTACGGCAAATCTAATAAGCTGAATTGAGAATGAGGTGTGCGAGATGCTTGGATAGTCTTAAATTCGTTATAGACGATCATCATGTGTCGCGAACTTACGTTCCGCGATAATTAATGTCTTCATTATCGATATATATTCCAAATATCTGTTTATGAACAAGATATGCATCGGTGCACTCGATAAATCGGTGCCTGTAAATATCATGCATAATAAAGTATATAATTTACAAGATTTTTTTTGTATTCAAAATTATTAATAAATGTAAACGAGTTTTCAACTCACACATTTATACACTATAATAAAATCAATAATGATAAAATATAATGTACCGAGTATCGAAACAAGATGTCAGAAAATTCTCGTGTTATTATTGCCACAAGATTTCCGAAGTATATACCATGTAAATAACACAAGAAATTCCTAATCCACTCGATCCTTGAACCATTACCTCCTCGAATCTAATGCATCTTGCACAAACCTCTAGTCTAGTACTTAAAAGTTATGGGATCTTCACGATCACAGCAATCGCGCAAACTATAGGTCGTAAGGATGCGAAACTGTCGTTGACGCGATCGAGGATTACTTCCGATGTGTTCCGATAATTTCCCTCGGTGATAATTTTCCTCGCGAATAGAGACATCAAGTATCCGAGTACGTCGTCGCGGTAGATCATATACATTGCTCGAAAGGGTAAATAAATCCATAATGGATACGTAAATTCACGAATACATTCGTGTAGGCGCAGACTTGCCGACGGGTTCGGGTCAGATTACCGATGCACGAATGCGTTAATGAATACCGAAGTGTATATTCTGAGAGGTAACAGTTCTTTATCACCCACTCGTAAAACAGTATTCGACAGGTCGTTCCGGATGTGAATTTCGAAGGGCGAGTGACTCTGTGGCCCTTGTCAGATTTTTTTGATTCTTCTATTCTTCGAACGTTTTTTTTTTCCTCACATCGTACATTTAGAAAATTGGGTTAAAAATCGAATTATTTATGAACAAATTATTTACGAACCACATGATATAGTAATTAAATAAAATCCTGTATATATATATATAAAGTATATTATATCCTATTTTTGTTAATATACTGTTTTTAATTAATGTTATCCATTATATTTTTCAATAAATTTAAAAGAATTAGAATTAGAATTTTCGAACTGTTTTCAAAATTAAGTTAAATAAACCTTTAATAATTATAAACAATGCCAATTGCACAATTATCATTATGAATTTATGGGATGTAATTTTGATAAACAGATGTTTTCTAATTTCGTGTAGCGCATCGTTTTGTTGAAATTCAAAGCAAGAATAGATTTTAATGAAACTAAACGCTAGCTTCTGTAAATAATTTAATTAACTGATAAATTCATGCGATATTATAGAAAATAACGTTTGTTGAAATTACAATTCCTTGTCTTTAACAATCTGTTATGATATGGCAATGTTTAAACGTTCAACAATGCTTGGCACGCCGATAATTACTATACAAATCACGATGAATATTTGTTTTCGCGCGCGCACTCGATTATGGAAATTAATGTTCTAATTATGACGTGAACCTATGCTCAAAACAATGATTTATTTAACAACAACCAATCGTAACTAGTACGTTGATACATTTACATCGACGCAATTGCATTTTGCATATTAGATTAATAATAACAGATGGAGGGAGGAGAGAGAGAGAGAGAGAGAGAGAGAGAGAGAGAGAGAGAGAGAAAGAGAAGAGGAGAAGAGAATGGAAAGCTAACAAGATATCACGCAGGAATCTTATCATTTGTTCGAATCGCACCGGTCATTGGAATTGTAATTAAAGCTGGAAATCTCACGGTCTTTCAGTCGTACAATTAATTTTTCCTCGTAGTTTCAGTGGCGCGCTCGGTTAGATTTTATTTAATTATATCCCTCCCCTCTTATCCCTCCCGTATACTTCTCGTCGCAACGATTTACTACCTTTTCGTATGGTCGCGTCGAGATCGACGCGGTTTCTCCCTTTTTTTCCCTCCCCCTTCGTCCTCACTCTTCTCTCCTCCGCGAATAAAATCGTGAAATTAAGAACGCAGGTTTTCATTAAGAGCCCCGCAGGAGAGGTGATTAAAGGATCGCTTTCGCTCTTTCGCGGTTTCATTTTTATTCATGTCCTACGAATGCCACGTGCCCTCGACTCTCCGCGCTCAAACCGTTAAACGCTGCTCGTTACTGAGTATTCGCACACTTTATGTGAGTACCGTCGGATTATTCGCGTTATTATACTGGTTTCACGACGTTTTCATCGCGCCGTAAAGATCGATGCGTCCCATATTTCGACATCATGTTTGCATCATTCACAGTTCATGATTTTTAGTCACCGTGTGTCATCATATTATACGTTCGCATTATTTCACTGTCGTAAAAGTGACATGAATTACGTTACAGCCGCTTTAATCTCAAAGCAAGAGAAGGAATACTAGTAGTGATGTAAAAATAATAACTGAAACTGAAAGGAAAAAATATTAAATAATAAAAATGTTGACATGTTATTTTTTTGAAATTATTAATATGTCGTCCTCCTCAACGTTCCATGCTGGAAATAAATTACTCTCTTGTAAAATTCACGCGGTATAACTTTATTTGATTATAACATTACCAAGTGCGCGACGGATGAAAACATCAAATTTTTTTATCCGCTCGCGCAACGATGAACTGATTTTGTTCATTTACCTGCAACGCAGTGGAACAACCAAACGAGACCAATTTGATTGTAAAAATCAAATCACGAATGCACCGACGAGACAGGCTTTTATTTTACTGACATGGGCTTGGATTATGCGGTAAATTGCCCGTAATATTTTTCAAAATTCATCTCATCCATTGTCGACATTTACCTTGTCATTTGGTAGCACACAAATTAAAATTTTTCGCAATCCAACGGTCACAAAAATATGCACATGATAAATATAAATTGATAACACCCAAAATTAATTATTCGGTCTATGATAAGAATTCTTCAAGAATTCTATCTTATCACATCATTATCTATTGCATAGTAGGAATGTTTCTTGAAAAAGTTTTTTTACACAATTTATTAATATTCATCATTATTAATATCAATTCTTACTGCAAATTCTTGAGCAAGGATAGATGTCGCCGATATGCCTATTTGTTTTTTTTTTTTTTTCTATATGTTATGTTTCCTAATGCAATCACGCAATACACATGATTAATGTCAATATTACACAAGCGTCCCGCTAGTAAATTAAATTAAATTTCGTAGATCTTCGTAATCGCTAGTATGCTAATACAATTGTCACATAGCCAATAATATCGATCAATGCCTCAATTGATATCATCTCTTGATTGATACACCTCACCTGTCGCGATCACATTTGCATGCGGTGTTAGATACATTTCCACGGTATTTCCACTCCGTTGATCCTCACGGCAATGACGCCGCGATTTCCGTAAACAATCAGACAGTCGACCGGTTCGTTTCCATGATACCCGACGCGCATGACACCGAACTTATCCCTACGGAATCTTACGATGCAAGTGTGTGGAGTGGATAAATACTCCGATACGTGTTCCCATGGAAGACCGGATCGCAACGTACGGATTTCGAGACCGGCGAAACGGATCGTAGGTGGAAGTGTCGATCGTGCGTGGCGTAGGTGCGTGGACGCGCAAGGCCGAGGCATGAGCATTCTTACGCCCACGTGCAGCTCGCAACAATGTGAAAGCCATAGAGATAGAGATAGTTACAAATTATCGAAACGCTAGAAATAGTTTAGGCAACGATCGTGACACAGGCGCTTCCGTAATACTGAATTAATGAAATGGTCAACCTAGAAAAGGTTAATTTGATCTCTTCATTCTTTCGGGTGTTTTATAATTTATCACGGAGTAGATTGTACTTACGAATAATTAAATTTAAATTAAGTATATTTTTTGTGTAATCTAGAAAAACTTTAAATTCTAAAATATAGAAATTATTTTAAACTTTAACGATCTAATCTTTTTAGTTTTTCAATAGATATTCAATGTACCAGAGACATATTGGATATCTAATTGTACGTAGATTATAGATATTTGGAGATAGATTTTGTGTGTGTGTGTGTGTGTGTGTGTGTGTGTGTGTGTGTGTATGTGTGTACCATATCCAATATATATCTAATATGTACTAGAGTCGTAATATAGACAGACTGATCTACTATGCTAGAGGGTTCGATTCTCGGTAAAGCAAAAATATTTACGCTCGTCTCCTCTTGGAAGGCAATAGCAAACCGCCAAGAGTAACTTTGCCATGAGCGTCTCTCTCTATCAAAAATTTGCCATTCGAAACCGGCGTTAAACTGTAGGATCCATATACCTGTGTATAATCGTCATGCGTATCACAGGTATATGAGAGAGATCATCACGCTCGGACACGAACAATAGGACTGGATGACGATATATTTAACAAAAAGACAAAAAGACAAAACTATTATATTTCCGCCATGAAACAAGGTTTTGTTTATTTTTATTATTTTTTTCCGAACCAAATAGAAATTTTCTCAGCAGAGTTACTCTAGGCGGTTTGCCAGACCTCCGTAGAGGAGAGCCGTCGCTTGTAAATATGTATTGTCAATCGGAATCGGGATTCGAACTCTCGAAGATTCGACCTCTGACTTACGAGCCTCGCGCTAACTCGCAGAGCCATAACGCGCCTCAGATTAGAGACATATTAATTATATCTCTCATAGGATATTTAAATTTAATATTTTACTTCATTTTCTTAGTAAGTCTTCAGTATTTGACATTTAATTTTAATAATCACACATTTGACAACTATTAAAAGATTCCATACAGTTTTCTGTATTGTAATAAATTTTTGTTTAATTTTTAATCTTTAGCCATGATAAATCATTTTTATACCTTTTTGTACAGCAAATAATACGATCAGTTTACATAAAAACATATTCTCATTGAATTTCACCGTTGCTATTGTTATGGATGTCTAGCTGGAGCTTCCGTATATTGAACATCACATTCGCCAGGACAATACCAGAATCCATTTCCGGTTTATGGTCATCTGGAGAACTCCAAGAACAGTAATAAAGTTACACATAGTCGGAGCACATAGTCGTGTCGTGCAGTCGTCGGCGTCGCGTTGACAAATTGTGTAGTTCGCCATTTTCGTCCGAGTCATATCCGACTGCTAACAATGAATCGTTTATTTACGAGCGGTCTCGAGCCGTGAAATGGGATACTGTCACGGCATTTAATTCTACGACGATCATCGACGAACGTCCATTCGATTGTCGATGAACAGTGACCCTCCGTCGTTGGCGGGAATGTTACCATTTCCTATCGGCAAAGACAAACTACTGTATGGCGATACCATAGCAGAAACAATTAAACTGAATAGACCGCCTATCTTTTTTTTTTCTTCACGTGTTTGCACACGGTAGTTCATCCTTGTCACAAAGAACATTAGTTTCTACGTTTCAGAATCGTTTTCTATATACGAAATGTAAAATGTAAGCTGAAACACAGTAAAACGCGTCGTTATCGCATTATCGTGCAATTAAATGTTTAATTAACGGAACGCGTAAATAACGGGGATTGGCGTGTTTTTAATGAGAATGTGTTCTTGAATACGGATTAGGTAGGTCGAATTAATAAAATGGAAAGATAAAATGTATTAAATACACCGTAGTCGAGCCAATGAACATAACACACGCATTATTCATTGCTAATTAATTAAATAACATCCCGTAAATAACGATAATAGGTTGCACAAACTTTTGTGCAAATGATATAATGTCTGCACAATCTGTTGCAAAA